AGTGGACAGATGTAGTTAATTTGCTTCCTCACCTTAGGGTCAATGTTCTGCGAGTGATCTCCGGCAAGAGCCTCTCCACTTACTTTGAGCAAAACCCTTCTCCATTTGTATGATGGCTTACTAGATTCGTCCATTGACAGTCCAAAGGGAGACATAGATGACATTTCAGGCCGCATGCTGACAATTTTATTGGCCATAATAATTGTTAAGTAAAAGTAATTGATAATAGACAGATGGCCAAATACAAGCGCAAGGAAGAACAGTAGGGCACCCATAATATCATTCAAGCAAAGCATCAGAATATCAATGAAGAGGAAAAGAATGCAAATCGAAAAATTTGCGAGCACGAAAAGATAAAATCAGTTATGAAGTAAGTTAATTGTATCTGAAGAATCACTTGACCCAAAAAAAGAAGAAAGAAAAAAGAAGTTATCTTCATAAATGTTTGGAAATGATCTCTTTCCTTTAAAGTAGTCATTTTGGAATCCGAACATTCTTCGCCATTGAAGTTTCACTTTCACCGACATTTGGGTATGAAAAAATTGGGTGGACAGATGGCAAAACAGGATCAAAATGTTTACATGAGAAAGATATGGTCGCAACACAAAAGCATTTATCCAACTAAAGTACAAGTGAAGGACTAGAATGTAAGCTCAACAATCGAGAGAAACAAGAATTCAGGATGAGCAGACAAAAAGAGAGGAAAATAAGTAAAAGGCATACCTAGAATTGAAGGAGTCAGGGGAAGAACCCACGTCAGAAAAAGAAGAGTGAATGAGGAGCTTGTTGAGATAAGAGGAAGAATTAGGGAGTCTGAAAGAGCGGAGATAAGGGCAGAGAGGAGAGAGAGAGGAGAAGGATGAAGATGAACGGAGAGAGAGAGTTGAATTGGAAGAGATGAGAGGGATGGAGATAGCCATCATTCACACTCACTGCTTCTTCTCTCTGATGCCGCCCACTCCTCCTCCTTCGAGTCCCAATTCCTTTCGCTTCTGGCATAACGCCTTGCCGCTCTGGATAAATTTCATTTCATTCTTTTTCTTTTTTTAACTTTTCTGTTCTCTTTTTCAAATAAATAATATTAGATTTGAAATTTTAAGAAATACAATTTCTCTGGATTGTGGATAGAGCCGGTAATATGGGTTGGACCCGCGGGTCGAACCCGCCAACCCGTCAAAAGAGGCGGGTTAGGGTTGGCCTTTGGCCAACCCACCACCACCTGAAAAATATGAGCCCGCACCGCCATAACCCTAACCCGCGGCGGGTTGGCCCGCCAACCCGCGAGCCAACCCGCGGGTTAACACATCTATTTTTTTTTAAAAAAAAATAGATAACAAAGACAAAAGTAAAGCAAATTTTTACTTCAAACTTTATTGTCATTAGAAATAATTAGATAAATAAGGTTATTCAATATTGCTCATTGGTTTCATTGAAAAAAAAAGTGTGAACTTGTGTATTATCATGTTGGAAAATTGGACAATCATATACTATTTATATTTTATTGTGTTGTAATTTTTATTGGATGTTTCTAATATTTTATATCATTTTTAGTATTTTTATTTTGTATTATATATAATTGCTAACATTTAAAAAAATAAGAAAATTTAAAAAAAAACAAAAAATAAAAATAAAAATTTTGGCGGGTTGGTGGGTTGGCCCGCCAACCCACCTTGGCGGGTTAGGGTTGGCAAAATGCCAACCCGCCAGAAAACGGGCCTTTTGAGCCCGCACCGGACAACCCACAACCCGCCACGGGCCAACCCGCAACCCGCGGGTTGGCCCGTTTTACCAGCCCTAATTGTGGACCCCAGTTTATAAGACCGTCCTATCTTTAAAAAAAAAAAATCCCTCGCTAGCGCCAACGAGACGGCAAAATACTGAAATGGAAAACTTAGTGATAACGAGTTTTAGATATTTTCTTCAGTAGTCGCTACTCACCAACCATATCACAAGTATACATATTAAAAATGCAGAAAAATTTATAAAAATATGTAATAAAAATTATCATTATTTTTTTTTCATAAATATAAGGATATTCTATTTTTCCTTTATTTAAATTATCCAGCCCATATCACGTGTTAAATAAGTTAAACCATCATGAACGTTGTGGGCCTATTCCTGGAAGAACCAAAGTCCAATTTCCTCCGCAGTTTGGAATTGGTTGGATACACAAAGCCCGACGTTATAGCCCAACGTTGCAAATTAGGACTCGTGCGTAGCTATGCCAAATGACAGACCCCACGAAATATATTCATTGATTTTGATTTTTTTCCTTTTTTTTTTTTTAAATTGCAATGTTGACAGCATTTTTTTAGATCCTTTATTCTTCAATTAGTAAGGATTTTTTTTTCACATTGGAAATCTCTCAAATGGAAGAAACCATTTCTAGAAAAAGGACATTCTATTAAGAAACACTGTGCAAAAAACACCAATGTGTAATACTGTAATGCGATACACAAGGAAAGGTGTCTAATTTAGAGGCATAAACAATGTTGAAACACAACATAATAACCTATGACCCAAAAGTAATTTCATTTCTTTTTTTTTTTTAAATCTCTTCTCTAATGTGAATTAGTAATGTAATATTCACATCCCACAAAAAAATGTAGAAAAATCTTTCTGCTAAGAAGTGAATGGGAAAAGGGCTCATAAATTTGAGAGCAAGCAAAAAGAACTTGGTAAATGAGATAATCACTATATTTCTAAAGCCTGACAGGCAATCCAAAGTTGTGAAACGTCTTTATAATTCCATCACAACTAGCTGTCACAATTGATAAACCCCAAGGATCCATAGGACATAGCTTCTCCTGTTGATGGCTATCATAAGCATCTTCTTCTGCAGAAGGTGAATTCCACGTAGGAAGCTTCTCTTCAGGCCACGTCACAGAACCTCTACACGTATGATCAATGGAAAACCAATTGCTGTGAGAAAAACATTCTCCTTTATCTTTAAGCATTTGGGGTTGTAAGTCTGAAGAACAGTGAGCTAAACCAGTGGCCATTTGGTCTGTGTTCATGCCTGACCAAGGTACTGCTACAACAACACCTTCAGAGAAAAAGTATTCACAAAATCTAGTAGTGGATTTTTTGCGTTTAGGTGATGAGTTTTTTAAGTCACTTGAGTTCCAAATATACACATGAGAATCATCTCCAACTGAAATTATGTGTTTTCCACTTGATGTAAAAGAACCAGACGTCTGACTTCCTGATCTGGAAGGACCTGTTACAACCAACAAGAACAAGTTTATGAAATTAGTAAAAGCAAAGTCAAAAATTAGTACAATCTTACTAATGACTTAAATCTCAAGTAGTATATTTACCTCTGTATTTCTGGACAACATCAATCCCTTCCAATAAGCAAAATTTGGAATCTTCTGATGTGATCAAAACTCTTTCATGTTTCTCTTGGCAAAACTGCAGCAAAATAAGGTACTATGATGTTAACAAATGAAGCACAAGTTGTCACCATTGTCATTAGAATATTAAGGTTAAGACCTGAATGCCACTGATTTTATTGCCCCTTGATCTCTTCTTTCCATTAATAACCTGTGCCTCCAGTCTGCAATGTTGATCTAAACCAATAAAAATCTTAGTTATTTTTTCCCCTCTATTGAAGGGTTTAGGACTAGAGGATCCACAAGTGCATACCTGAAGTAACATAAAGGCGGCAAGTGCCTGAAATGGAGCCAACTGCAAATCCCTGTGTAAAATAAACAGTTTAAAAGTTCATTAGATTAGGGCTACGTTAGGTTTCACAGAATCATGAAAAGATTAATCCTCCTAGTCTTACTTTCCCATCTGGCTTGTAACTTATGGCAGTTATCACATCGTGTATGTCTGTCCAGTCAACAACCCTCTTTTCATGTAATCCCCATATTCTGACTTTGCCATCAATGGACCCGCTGATGAAGTAATTTTCATCAACTGGATTGACTTGAATGCATGTCACTGCTTCCATTCACACCAGAGACACAATCAGAATTGCACTCACAGGATATGTTTCAGAACTTAAATTTGTGTTTAGATATGAACCAATTAGCATGGAATGGTGTGTTGTTGAGAAATAATCTTACCATAATCATTGTGACAGAAAGCACTTAAGCATTGATCACATCCAATTTGCCACAAACGGACGGTTTTATCCATGGAAGATGAAAGAAGAATCTGCAACCAGGTGGTTTAATTAGGACAGTTTTGAAAACTAATGCAGAAATAGGTTCGATAGGAAAAATCACATGAATGAAAAATAGGTAACTCACTTCTGAATTATTAGACCATGCCAAGTCCAAGACATCACTGGAATGACCACAGAATTCTAGGAATGGTGATTCCTCAATTTGAAAAACCTTGTTCGGAAGGACAAGGTGGTTTTGACCTGACTGTTTCTTCCAAGAACAGAACATGTCTTGCTTCACTTTGGTAACAAGACTGTCTTCTGCATTGAAACTGTCACTAGATATATCCTGTAACACGACACGCCATATTCTTACAACTCCATCTTCACCTCCAGTTGCAAGATACTGTCCATTGGGACTAAATTTCATAGCCCATATAACGCCTTTGTGAGCTGTAATCTCTTGTCCAACATATAACCCACTCAACTCCGTCCACCTCTTCTTGTTCTGCCTCACTTTTATCCTATGAGTTTTATTTGCCCCTTTTTTGAGTTTTGGTCTGATTTTTTCTCCACCACTTTCTCTCCTCTTGTTCACAAATCTGTTCCACCAGTTCTTCTTGTTCTTCTTCTTCTTTTTATCTATATCTAAATCCCAATGTCCTTCTCGGACCTCGGCTTCTGTGTGTCTGTTTTCATGAACGCTTACATCTACTTCATCTTCAGGAAATATTTTCATTTCATCAAAGAGGATGTTTGCTTCAGAAGTTTCTTTCTCAACTATATTTGAGACAGCTCCATTGGCGTCCCTAATTCTCTCTAGTCCCAAGGAGGGTTTTGAAGATATTTCAGATGAACCAGATGAACCAGATAAACCCATTCCTTCAAGAAAACGTTGTCGTCTTTCCTTCACACTCTGAGGCTCATTCACCCAAATCTCATAATCCAACTGGTTGGAACCTAAATCAGATTCTTGAGGTGACAGATAATCTGTTGAGTCGAAGAACACATCATCAATATTTCCTCCATCAGAGCTTAGCATATTTAGACTTCCAAACAAATGCCCCACATGAAAATTTCACTTTCTAACACTTCCTTCCCTCAATTATGCGAAACCCAGAGGAATACAAAACGTGAAAACGAAGGGCTAGCTTTTCATGTTCTGTGATTGCAACTAATATCTGCACACACAAAGTAATAAATGGCGAAAAAAGTCAGTCTCAAATCAATCCCAAAAGTCAGAGGCCCAAAAAAAAAAAAAGGAGCAAGGTTTTTTTTAAAAGCAATTCGACTTCAGATCACCATAGTGAAGAAAAAACGACAATGTGTAAACAAACAAGAGAATTGATCATAGTCTCTAGACGTCATAGAACTGAATATAGAGTAACAGTTTTACAGGAATAGCATTCTTTGCTTTGGTTTTATCAGTATTCATGGATGGAATAGGATACTATGAATTAAAGGTGGCATTAATGATACAGCGAATTCCGTGATCACTGATTAATGATCTTCCCAAAAGCACTAATGACTATTGGAGCTTAAAAACTTGAGGAAAAAAACTAAAGAAAAAAGAAAAAAAAATGGTTGCCAGCAAAAAGCTCAGAGATAAATATAGATATCATATGTAGGGGTGATGAGTTGATACCCTCCTAGCGAAAGCGATGACTCGTAACTCTGAAGACCTATCACCTGTGAGGCTTCCTTATTTTACAGAAATATATGCAAAAGACCAATGTGAGGTTTGAATTCCTCGAGCTTCGTGTTTCAATGGAGTATGTTTTTGTTTCCGCCATTTCTAGCCAGCATAGCAATAGGTTCAGCTATGGCTATCAGGGTATATTAATTATCTACTCAATTAATTAAGAATAATACCCTTCATTTTCATTCTTTTCCCCCCCACTTTTTTGATAAATCGTTTTCATTCTTTTTATACGTCTTAATCTAAATAAGCATAGGGATTTGTGCTGTGGGTGTTGGCACTTAATCATGTACTGTTGACAAAACAGAGGAAGGGTCATTTATTGTGTGTACCTCGTTCGTTTCTGATGTCAATGACATCGAAAGAATCAATCTGTTATCACTTTTTCCCTCCAAAGATTCTCCAAAACCCAATCTTTTTTTTCTGTCTATGAGCAATATAATACCATGAAGTTAAAAACTCATCATGAGATTGATTTGAAACAGCGGGGGATAAGAAGAAGTCTAACCATTGAACTTCAGAGTCTCAGTGAGGCCACGATGGATCTCTCTTTCAAACTTGTAAAGCTCAAGATCTCAAAGACTCCTAGAAGCAATAATCATGAAAAGGGATTTCATAAGAGGGTCGTATAGTTGTGCGAGGCAGAGTTGGTAAGATCGATGAAAGAAATTGAAAAAGGGAGAGAAGGAGAGAGAGAGAGATGATAAGATGGATGATAGTTTGAATTAAATTATGAGAACTTAGCATCTATCGAAGCTTCCAAAACCATTTTCAGAGTGATGATTTGACACCAACCATCAGCTCAACTCTCTCATCTATCTATCTATCTGGATCAATCTGCAAATTATCCCATCTATGAATGTGAGCTTTCATCATGTTGATTTGAAATTTGATAACTTCTGTTTTCTTTAATCACAGCAATTAATTAAACATATTCAGAGGATCTGTATGATTTCCAACCAGAGACGCTTTTCTTCATTTGGTTTGTTTATTGGTTTGTCTTAGTGGGAAGGAGCTCTAGCTGGAGCTAACGTGTTAGAATCTCACACTCGTGTGTTAATTCACCCCACATGTTTCATACATACTCGCTACCACATGCTCTTGAACATTAATTATGTTTACATTCTCTTATATTTTACTAAATTCTACTTCTTTTCCTGTGAAAAATCTACATTCAACTGCATTTTGATGAATTGATTTTTTAAAATATAATATCATTTCTTTTTTTAAAAAATTTTACTAAGGAAAAGCATGGATGCGGTGACAAGATTCTTTTTTTTCTTAAAAAAAAAAAATTGTATGAATAAGTGCTTCCATGAATGAAAGTGCAAAGGTAATGGGAGTTATCTCTTGTGTCGGCATGCAAGACAAATAATGGTCGACTTTTTGATTGATTAGTTTATTAAATATATATATATATATATATAAAAATGTATACATAGTCCCTTCACCAGTGTGTTTATTGTTAAAATATTTGCCATATAATGACACAGGGCGGGAAAACTAGTAAATGAAAGATGAGAAAAAGTTGTTGAGGAGGGAGGGAAAGATCAGAGAAAGCATGCAATGAAATTGATCCGTAGGAGACTAACTAATACATATGAAGTTAAGAGATGAGTTGAAAGGAAGCAGAGAGCAACAAATTAAGAGGAACATATATATATATATAGAGAGAGAGAGAGAGAGCACTGACCTGAAACAAGAGGTGGGGGAAGAAGGAGAGAAGAGGAGGACACAGCTCTAAATGAAACCAAAGTTGGGTATTGGATATATAAAAGCATATATGTGGCCAACTATATATGTCTAAGTCTAACACAGAGGGCGAAGACATATATTGGCAATGGCATGATTGATATGTTCTTTTATATATAACCTCTCACTACCCTACTTGGTCTCCATGCTGTCTACGTATATATGTTCAAAACGAGACACAGAAAGAGAAGCTTTTCTCACTTCATTAGACCAAATGGCAGTTATCATCCTATTATAGGCAATTATTTTGAAAGTATTATCAGGTATTAAATGTAAGCATATCTTGTAGTAGATATTCCAATTTTAGTTCATCGTGTTGTAAGGAGACTAACCTCTTCTGCTAATCCTAACTCTTGTTAATTAGTATGAATAAAGTTATTTGTTTACCCAGAATAATACTTGCCCTACTAAATATAGGACATGGTTAAAGAGTAAATTGTAGTCATAAATATAATACTTTAATTCATTTTATATCTCATATATTATTATTTTTTTAACTAATTTACTCAATTTATAAGCTGATAGATAATATAATATTACACAGAATTGTTTTAGAAAAATTAAGTGACATATGTTATAATTAAATAATATATTTAGCTTCCTTAATCTTTGAAATTAGATTAGAAAAACTATTGTATCAAAGTCCAAAAGAGCACTATATATGTTAAATATATAACATTATTTTGTGGCCGCTGTTATAATAATAATAATATATGAAGAAGCATTTTATAGAGTGAGGGATAGTGAATAATATTATATGAGAAAAGTGTAGAGAGAGAGTGAGAAAGAGTAGTTCCTAATTGTTAGGGACATATCTCCGCTCAATCTTCTCTCGATTTCCTCTCTATGCCCACCAACCTACACTTGTTCCTCTCATTTTATTATCTTCTTTTTTCTTATAATATAGAACCCTAAAGCTGGCCATTCATTTAAAAACACACACACACACACACACACACAAAAACAGAGGGCCTGAGTTGTTTCGAACTCATCAAAATCTTCTACTGATTCTATTTTTTCCTTTCCTGATGCACACCCATAAATGCCTAAAGGTGACCATATATATCCCTTGCGTTCCACGAAACTTCTAAACAAATAATTAACAAATCGCAGCTTCCCGTGCGCATGTACGTATACATTATTTCAACATGGAAAAACACCTTTAAAGGTATCAAACGCATAATAGCTCAAATCCATATATATGTATATATATAGGAACTGCTTGCGTGTATATAACTCTCTTCAAAGTTCCAAAAATTGAATGGGTTTGTGCCAAGTGTTCCCCAGACTATATATAGCGTTTACTTGGTCCACAATTCATATGTATCAAGGTGTGTCTTGGCCATTAATGGCATAACTTTTTAGTTTTTCAATAGCCCATTCAAAAATTCTGCTAATAATGTGGCACACACTATATGGAACCACGCATGTTCATTTGCCTTCAGCTTATATTAATTTCTATCCTTTTTTGTGGTCTTATGTTATTATATAGTTATTATGAGAAGTGATGCTTGTTCTCTCTGTTCCATAATATGCAGTTCTGGAGGGCATTAATAAATTAATCGAACTTTTTGGAGAGTGACTAAAACCAAGATTACTAAGCAACAAAACATAGACCAGATCAAAGGGACAGACAAGACATAACAGAAAAGCGAGTCATTATCAAACATTGTACAGAATCAATTTCTTCAGGCTAACCAAATCCAAAGAAGTTTTGTGGGGTCTGTTTTATTGTGTTGTATCTTGCAGCACCAAAGCCAATCAAATCCTTGAAGACCCCACTGATCACATGCCCTCCTCCCTATATCAATAACAACACAAAGAAATACTTATTTTCTGTTAATTTATTTAATTTTCAAGCCTTCTGGATCATTATTGCTCCTGATTGATTAGTCTATGATTCCATAGACTGACCTGAAAGATACGAAGATCCCTTTCTGGTTTAGTTAAGATTAATGAATCACTTGAAATCTACTACAACTATTTATACCACATAGAGTGCATGTGAGATCAAATATTTAGCGTACCTAATTGCTGATATATCTGAATAAGTTTTCATCGTTTTTTTGGCCCGTAGGCTTCTTCATTATTAAGATAATGTAAAGATCTCTCTGTGATCTTTTATCTATCTGGTTCACAAAAATCGAAGACTTTAGTGCACCTGCTTTTTCTATTTTTAACTCCACGCACGCTCATTCCTTCTACAGATAAGCTTGTGGTCCATAAATTAAGATCATTAAATTCATATATATATATATATATATATATATTCTTATGGCCAGAGATGACTCGTTTGCATGTTGATGTTGCTTACTGAGTGCAAGTCAATCATAGTGGGAATACATATATCTATGTGTCAGCGTGTGATTTGGCAAATGCATGTGTCAGGTGTTTGTTCTATTTTGTAGAAGAAAAAGGAGCCAAAAGTGTATGAGTTTGCGGACTGCGAGCGAGACACATAAGGACTTGAGAGAAAGAAGGGAACACGAAAAATAATTAATTAAAGGATATGGGGGTGCATGGCTCAAAGTTCAAACACATTGCTTGTATTTTATGTGTTTGTGTGTGTGGCTTTAATTTTAATGAAATGTGACCAAAAGGGTTTTCTTTTCTTCACTTGAGAGCAACAACACAGGAAAAGTAGAAGGAGATACAGTTGTGAAACATTGGTTATCAGATGTGATTTGTCTGATACACTCACACACACATGCATATCCTTTTCCATCCATGTCTTAACATGTACGTACTATTTTCTAGCTAGCTAGGATTGAGTGAATTATTTAAAAGATATTTCACAATGGCAAGTTTCTAAGTTGTCCTGTGAAGCGGTTTAGGTAAAAAGGGGATAATAGAGGGAAGACTTGGGAATGAAAAAGGGAGCGTGGCAGCCTAGTGATCAAGGGAAGGGAGGGGCCATATTTGCCACAAGATGAAGATGAAGGCAATGATGGGTGGGTCATCAGTCAAAATTAACATTTTGTTAAATGCTTGCTGGGTTTTATTATTATTATTTTGTGGGGAAAATTACATTATTGGTTGTGGTGATGATATGTATATGACCCACAAAATGGCTTTTGCTGAGAGGGAGGGGAACACTTGTTGCTTTCTGTCTCTTCATTATACAAACTCATCATTCCCGCTAATTAATTAGCTCCTGTCTTCATCTCACTACTTTGTTCCTATTCATGCACATATATCACTCCCGATCCCCAAAATATTTGACCCCTTCAACCTAATTAATTACACTGTATTCTTATTTATAAGTCACTGGTACTTTAAGTGTGTAAATTAAAAAATATATTAAATTGATAATTTTTTTCACCTTTTACCTCTTGTTAAAGAAAGGGTATTAAAAAATATGTTCTATATTTTCTCTCACCTATTTAAGTCAATAAGGATAAAATTAAAAAAAGGCTCATTAATTATCCTAGAAGTGATTCATATTTAGAAATGAACTTTTTCCCTACAAGTAGATGTGGTAAAACGGCTTGACTCGCCTATTACGAGCCAACCCGCTGCGGGCTCAAGACTATGCAGGCCAGTCTTAAAAAAAACCGCCTCCTGGCAGGCTCATATTTTGATAGTCCACCTCGCCAAGGGGTAGCCTGCCAACCTTTATCCTTTTTTAAAAAAAAATTTCTTACACATATTTAAAGTTTTTAAATTAAATTATAAGTTTTTATAGATTAAATTCTTCTTATTCTTATATTTTCATATAATTATATAATTAAATTAATCTTAAAAGTTGAAATATAGACATATAATTCATTGTTAATAATTATTTTATTAGTATAAAAATAGTAAAACAATAAAAAAAGAGAAATCAAATTTAAAATGAAAGTTTTTAACAAAATACAAAGTTATATATAAATTACGTGAAAATAATAAAACTTTT